TTTTTTTTTTTTTTTTTTTTTTAATATATATCGATTTTAGCTTAACCTTTTTATATTTTAATTGTATTATATAATATACATCTCGTAATTAGGACCTCTATGTAAACCACTCTTGTGATGGAGCATCCTATTAAAAGATTGTTATTATTAGCTACAGACCTGTCAAAAATCAACCACCTTGTGGAACAAGACTTTTTCATCCGTTTCACCAGTATCTGTTTACTCTTCTCTCTTAGCTGTAAGCTGCGTTTCTTGTTGTCAATTTGCATCTTCAAAAGAACAGTGAGGCGTTATGGTGAATTTTCAAAGTATGCCCAGAGTTGACGCAGTATGTCCTCCACTCGCTCTATGTAATCAATCTCCTTGTTTGTATAAGTGCAAGCTAAGGCCAGCTTATGACAAATACAGTGAACACTGATCAAGACTGGGTTGAGCTCTGAAAGCTTTGTTGCTACACCGTTCTTTTTTCCGGTCATCACTGAAGCTCTGTCTGTTGCAAAGCCTTTAAGATTTTTTAGACTTAAACTACACTGCTGCAACTCATCCTTGATAAGGGATGTAAAGGCATCAGCATTGGCACTTGCAAATTCCTCTAGGACGTTTCGCACTAACAGAAGTGCAATCTCCATGCAAGAAGTAACAGGGCTTACAAACTGTATGAATGTAAGCATTTGGGATTGCACAGAGATGTCAGTGACTTCATTCACCATGAGCCCATAACTTTGGACCTTTTGTGCACTGCGCACTATTTCTTCCTCGATGGTTTCTCCCAAGACGAGGAAGATTCCTCGGATAGGTCCTGCAGCCCTGTGATTGAAGTATTTGAGATGGTTCACAGCAAGGGAATCCTCGGCAAACTTAATCAAGTTAAGAAACTTTCTGTTTGCAATGTGCTTCTTTGCCAGAAAGTAAGCAAGCAACCAAAAAAGCCTTCTCCAAGACGTTCTTGGCAGTTTCTTTTCGTTCAACAACTTCTTTATGGAATACAGACATGCGCTGTAAAAGCTCTTGACTGACTGCTTTACGATGTCGCTCAGAATCACGATGTACCTTAAGGGCGTTGTACTTTAATCACATGCTTGCTGTTTGAGTGAAGGCTGATTCTTCTTTATTTTGCACTGTTTTTATGGTGTGCTTCTTGCACAACAGACAGAACATACCTTCACCCTCTACAAAACAAAGCCAGCAATGTTCCTCCTCTTGGTGCCAAGTATGAATGTACTTCTTCTGTTGCTTCAGTCTTGCTATCTCTTCATGCCTTAAGCTGCTGCACAGTTTGAAGGACACGTGTAATAGCTGTATACTACTTTGTTTGTACCAAAGAACAGAGCTATTAGGTCTTTGCATTCTTTAGCACTCAAGAGAACTTCACATGAATGAGATGGTTGTGAGGCCATCACTGTAGCTCGAGTGGAGGAGCTTGCTGTAGAACTACAGGGCATATGACAAGGGGTGGAAACTGGTAAATCATCAGCCACACCTGTTCGCCTTTCTTCCAGCTGGGTGGTTGAAGCACCTGAGACCAGATTGACGTGCATTATGTAATTTTTTTTTCTTGTTTGAACTAAAGTATTTTTAGTGATTCTTCACCTGTCATCTGAAAAACATGTTACATCTAGATTGTTTAAGTCGCGGGCATTCTAATTAAATTATCAGCGCTGTTTGTTTTGCAATATTTTTATTTCTCACAAATTTCTCTAAAAAAATTTTCCAAACTTGTTACGTCTGACGTGAAACTGTTTTTAAGGATGATAGAATGGTTTAAAAGCAAGTTTCATTCACAAATCAAAAGGTAAATGTGACATACACGGTCACGAGACATGTTGCACCGCAATTTTCGTTGTAATCAAGCGGAAAATTCGGTGAAGAATGACAGCAAAGAGAAAGTAAAAAACCACAGAAACCCTTTGCTTGGCGTTTTTTAATTCAACTCTAAACATCATTCCTAATTTTCGTAAAAGATAACTCAAATTAGTTTTGTAATATTTATTTAAATACTCACCATTTCCATTTCAAAACTAATTTATTCATTCTATTCACACAAGCACGTGCTTGGCACTATGTGACGAAAAACAATGTGAAAGACTGCTGTATTATTCAACGGAAAAACACTTACATCCCCCCGTTGCTCCTTAGAAAATTAGGAAGTTATCTGTGAACTCAGTGCAGCTTTTTGCTTTAGATTCTCTGCCATTTACATTTTAAAGCGTTAGAATTATCTTGTGAACTACATTGTGCTGTAAATTACACGATAAATGCAGATAAATTACTTTTCAATTGCCAGTCAAATGCTTGATTTGAAAGTGACATTTTTTCCGATACTTCGATAAAAGTGATGAATATTCCCGCTTTCATAACCCAAGAAAGATCGGAATGACGTTTGTGTTTAAAATAACGTGAAGAGAATACGGTAGGCACGCTATACAAACATTTTTTAACCTTCAAATTATTTTCGGGGAGTTTCTTTTTGGGCGTTTTTTCTGCTTTTTTTTTCCTTGTCAGTAACAAAACNTCTGTGAACTCAGTGCAGCTTTTTGCTTTAGATTCTCTGCCATTTACATTTTAAAGCGTTAGAATTATCTTGTGAACTACATTGTGCTGTAAATTACACGATAAATGCAGATAAATTACTTTTCAATTGCCAGTCAAATGCTTGATTTGAAAGTGACATTTTTTCCGATACTTCGATAAAAGTGATGAATATTCCCGCTTTCATAACCCAAGAAAGATCGGAATGACGTTTGTGTTTAAAATAACGTGAAGAGAATACGGTAGGCGCGCTATACAAACATTTTTTAACCTTCAAATTATTTTCGGGGAGTTTCTTTTTGGGCGTTTTTTCTGCTTTTTTTTTCCTTGTCAGTAACAAAACAAAAATAATATATTTTCCGTCTGGAATGGAGATGGTCAAACCTCCAGAGGAGGGGGCTCATTGAGCTGGCAGCCAGCCAGTTTTGAGAAGGCTATAATGCACTGGCAGAGGTTTTCACGGACGACATTTGAGTTCCAGCCTTGATTTGGAGGTTCTCTTGTAATTTAGCTTTGTCTCATGGAGTTTTATTGTGAACTGCATTTTCTCTTCTCTTCCCTGTTTTCTGCTTCTAATTTTCCTCGGGCCAGCCATTTTCAACATTTTCGATATGACCATCTGCTTCTTCTATGTTTAAGCCAATCGCAGTATTCCAGTAGCTGATGTCTTCATCGCTGATTTTCGCTTCTATCTTCAGTGCTTTCAATGCTCGTCGCGCATTGTCCACTTCAGTTATCAATTCCTTAAGATTCAACAATCTTTTACCACCCTTAAGGACTTCATCGGTTTTGTTCTCGGCTCTTTCAAGTTGTTTTAGTTTGGTTTCAAGTGTAGATTCGACATTATCCATGTCTTTAAGGTTTAGGCATTACTGTGTCTCTTCGGTGTTTGTTTAGGTTTACAACTACTCCAAAAAAAGCGACGCTTTGGATTAACAATATATGTTGGGTTTGTATTTTCGGTCACTTACATATTCTTGCAGTTAAAGCTAAGATTGGATTGCATGATTGCATGATGAGTGCCCCAGTCCCCGACATAGGATACTCACTTGGTTCCGGGTAACCACTTTTCTTATGGACCCAGCTCACTCCATACACTGCTGCATTAACTGAGGACACTGAACAGGACTGCTAGATAAGAGACACAATGTAAAGAGTAAACACCACAGAGTCTGCAGGCAAATAAGAGGCACTGTGCTTCTTAGCCCATGTCTTCCAGGACTTGTATGCAGGAAGATAGTTTGCTGCTGTTGAAGTGGCTCTGTCCTGCACCAACACAGCTGGTAGAAAGCTTGCCAATCACCTCAACTTGGGGATCTTCAAAACGACCCACTCCAAATTCTGCTGGAAGAGTAACCTCTTTTGTAATAGCCTGCACCACTGCAATGCAAGCAAATGAGAAAACATTCCATAAAAACAGAACAACACCATAACCATCTTTAAGCACTATAGCCACAACTGACAATAACATCACAACTGCAACTCAGGCCATGACAAACTAAAATGCCATAACAGCTCAAGCAAGCCCATAACAGGCTGAGAAACCACAACAGTAGACCGGAGAAAACAATAATTCCCATAACAGAGTGCAAGACTGCTAACAGTAACAAAACATGACACCTGCCAGCAAGAAATGCCCATAACAGGGTGGTAACATGAGTAAAGCGGGTACACTGAACAATCATTGCATGAGGCCGGCAAGGTTCATAGGAACAACCACTCATCATAACTTGACAGGCTGTAACACTCCAAAGATGCTACAAAAGAACATGTGCACCACAAAAGCACAACTTCAAAGCCAGTAAAAAAGACAGCACGCCTGCAGTAAAAACACAGCTTGCTGTCGCCTCCCCGAATGGAAAGACCCTCATAAGGTTGGATTCTCAGGGATGCTGTCAAAAACCGTGCCAGGAACCATGCTTGGCAAAAAGAAGAGGCCACCAAGAAGCAGAAGGCCATTCTGGGACCAGGAGGATTCTGTCTTCACGTCCATCGTTCATGTGGCACAATACACAAGGCACCAGGTATGGTGGAGGAAAGAGCCAATTGTAATCCCCCGCCCATGACACAGTGAAAGCATCAACAGCTTCACAACCAGGATTTAGGAATCTGCTACAAAATCTGTCCAGCTGCTTAGTTTTCACACTGGTAAAGCGCTCAATAGTGTGAGGGCCCCAACAGCCATCTAAGCTAGCAAACCATGAAGGATCAAGCATGTAATTGTTACAATCTTCAATCCGTGATAACTCGTCAGCCTCCTTGTTAATATCTCTGCGATTCCACTCTACAGTCAGGCGAATGTAAAATTACCGACATAACTTGCAGATGTCCACTGCCTCATTATGAAGGTCAGCTTTGCAGCTGCTCACAGAAAGAATGATTTCAGTGTTCTTGTTATTTAGTAAACACAACTGATCATGTTTAATAGTCGAAATCGAAAAATGCTTACTGACAAAAAATATTCCCGCGTCTCGGGTTGCTTGATGGTGCAATAAAGATCACGTGACTACAATATTACGCAGACATAAATAAATTAACATAAATTATATAAAAAATGTTCACAACACTCCCCAGGGTTGCATCACGACTTCGTGATAAAACGCCTTGACTCAACAGTATAAATCTTGAATGTCCACTATTCAATAAATGTCAAAAGAGCTTCGTCGTCTACAAAGTTCACTGTTTGAAAAGACATAATTTCGAATTCATCTCATGTACAGTTCAGTTCAATGTTCACTCAGAAACTTCAACAGGAATTAAGTCCTGTATCACTCTACGTAACACTTGTGGCTTTCGATCCCCTTTGCCAGCAACCTTGACCTTTGCTGATCGAATCTGACCATCTCTACCCGGTAACAGTTCTTGAACCTTTGCCAGTTTCCAAAATGTTCTTTTCGTCAGATCAGACTTCACGATCACAATGTCACCTACTGAGATTGGGCTCTCCTTGTTTTGCTTCTTACATCTCTCATTAGAGCGCTCTCGTAGACTCAAAAGATACTCGTGCTGCCATCTCTTGGTGAACTGACGCAGTAATCGTTGGTGATGCTTAGCTCTCTTTGTCAAGGTCTGATTAACACTAACAACTTCGAAATGCTGGTTACTTGGTGCACTAGTAATTCGTCTACCAGTAATTAGATGAGATGGCGTAAGTGGAGTGGAAACTGACTCTTCATCATCATAGACATATGTTAACGGTCGTGCATTTACGATTGCTTCGATCTCCACCATTGTGGTTTGTAGCTCATCATAGTTTAACGTAGAGCGTCCCACTGTTTTCTTCAATGGTTGCTTCACAACTTTAACCATCCGTTCCCAAAAACCCCCCCACCAAGGAGCTCGCTCAACGATAAAGTTCCATGTGATGCGATTGTCAGTTAAGTATCGCGTAACCTCGTCTGATTGTATGATCTTCCTTATATCTTTGGATGCGGATCTGAAGGTTTTGGCATTGTCAGACAGAAGGGTGACTGGTAATCCCCGGCGACTAACGAACCTACGAAAGGCCAACAGAAATGAATCAACGCTCAGAGAAGGCGTCAGTTCCAAATGAATCGCTCTCGTGGACGCGCAAGTGAATAAACAAATGTACACCTTGTCGGAGCCCGTTTCTTTTGAAGACCTTCCATCACGTATGTACAAAGGACCTATGAAGTCTAATCCTGTGTGGGAAAACGGCGGGTCTAGAGACACTCGTTCCAGTGGTAAATCTGGAGTCGGTGGTGGTCTGTATGGAGCTCCTTCTACTCTTCTACAGATGGTACATTTTCTTACAATTTTCTTCACAACTTCTCGACCTCTTGGTACCCAGAATCGTCCTCGAATAGTGGTTAAGGTGTCCTTGATACCACTGTGTTTAATCTTGGAGTGCACATCCTGGATGATGAGACTAGTTAGTGGGTGTTTAGACGGAAGTAAGATTGGATTCTTGCTTTCTTCAGAGAGCGGTGCATTGTTTACTCTCCCCTTGCATCTGATGATTTGTTGGTTGTCAAGGAACAAGTTGAATTGCGTGACATAGACGGGTGGAAATGTTCCCCTTTTGCTTTGAAGAAATTCGAGTTCTTTGGCAAATGAGGCTTTCTGTACAGTCTTGATCCACAGCATTTCAGCTTGATTTAACTCTTGAGCATTAAGTTCCCTTTTTGACGAATGTTCTGGTAACTTGTGAGTTTCACGGTTTGATACACTGTTCTTCGCATTACCTATGAACCGTAATAGGTAGGCTGTCACGCGGAATAATCGTGTTACACTGCAGTATCGTTCAATGTCAATGACTTGACTGAGATTGATTGAATGGTCTTCTGACTCTGTCGTGACCAGAGAGTGCGTGACACTCACAGGGCTTTTTAGAACTTCTTGAAGGGCTTCTTCGTCATCAGACAAAGCACTTGTTTGGGGCGACTCAGGCCAATGTTCTCTCACTAACTTCAGAAACTTGGGCCCATTCCACCATGTCTGGTTTTGTGCTAATTGCTCTCCTCCACATCCTCGTGATGGTAGATCAGCGGGGTTCAACTCCCCGGGACAGAAATTCCAGTTGGCTTCGTTAGTTAGTTCTCGTATCCTGCTGACCCGGTGTTGTATGTAAGGTTTCCATGCTTTGGCATTTTTTATCCAACACAGCGTGGTGAATGAATCGGTCCACAAAAATGTTCCTTCGATTGGAAGAACGGATTGTAACGTTTGCTGCGTTGAGTGAACTAGTTGGGCTAGCAATGCAGCTCCTAGCAGTTCCAACCTGGGAATTGACTGACGTTTACTCGGCGCTACTCTCGTCTTGGATGTCATGATGTTGACTTGGATTTCACCATTGCTGAATGCGGTTCTCAGGTACACAACAGCTGCATAGGCTCTTTTCGACGCATCTGAAAAGCCATGGATCTGATAGGAGCATACTGCTGACTGCGCTGGTGAGTAATTGGCATAACATCGGGGAACTCGAATGTTCTTCAGAGCATTCAGGTCATTAATGAACGTTTTCCACTTCGCTAAAGCTTCTCCTTCCAAGTTTTCATCCCAATTGACCCTCTCAACACATAAATCTTGAAAAAGGACTTTCATGCTTATTGTAAATGGAGTTAACAGTCCAATCGGATCAAAGATTTTGGCTGACAGTTTCAAAACACATCGTTTGGTAGCTGGAAGGGCTTCTGCGTACTCAATCAACTCAGAGAGGTCATAGCGAAATTCATCTCGAATGACATCCCAGTAAATCCCGAGAATCTTCACCAATTGCTCTGTTTCCAGTTTATCATCTTTGGCACTCGATGACTCTTCTTTCTTGAGATTTTGTGTACTTTCACTTTCTTTGGGAGGGGATTCCCAAACTGACGGTCCTCTTCTTTCTTCATCCTGCTTGATTTTTTCGCGGAAGGACTGACAGTTAGAATTCCACTTACGCAGTGAGAATCCTCCATCTTTCATGATTTCCTGTGCTTTGTCGTACAAGTTCACAGTTTCATTCTCGCGAAACACTCCTCCTGCCAGATCATCAACATAGAAGCTGGAACTTAACAAAGATGTTACTTCTGGTTCCTTTTCTTTGTACTTGGACAGATGGAGTTTTATGGTACTTGCCAGGATAGCTGGACTTGGAGTTAAGCCAAACACAAGCCTTCGAAACTGGTATTGCTTGATTTGCGGACGATCTTTCTCAATGTCATCGAACCATAGAAACCTCAGCATACTTCTGTCTTCTGGGTTGATCTGTATCTGATGGAAGGCCTTTTCGATGTCAGCTACTACAGCAATTGGATACCCTCGAAACTTAACCACAATATCAAATAGGTGTGGCACTAAGTTCGGTCCTTTCTCTAAACACTCGTTAATTGAAGCAGTTGACTTGTCAGATTTGGCTGAACCATCAAATACAACTCTCAATTTTGTAGTTTCCCGGTTCGACCGAATTACGCCATGATGAGGTAAGAAATGCATTGGAGCTTGGTCGTAGTTGTGTTCTGGTACGGCTTCGATTATCCCGGATTTGACTTGATCCTTGATCACATTGTCATAATCTCTCAATAGTTCCTTGTTTTTCTTCAGTCGCGAGTGAAGCTGTCTCAATCTTGTAACACACAATTCGTACTCGTTTGAAGCAGGAACAAGGCCTTCCTTCCAAGGCAGACCAACTTCGTATCTTCCTTCATTCTCATTGAAATGAATACTCTCCAGGAACTCTCCACTATCTGACTGTGACACGGGTGGCTTCTCTCGTACTCCTAATGACTCAATGTCCCAGAATTTTTGCAAGGCATTACATAACTCATCGTTCTCACTATGACTGATGTCAAATGGGCTCAAGGTCATCAATTCCGGCCTCTCTATGATGAGATTTGTAGTTGCAAACTTCTCTCTTGATTCTTCAGCACTTGTGGGACCAGACAAGACCCATCCGAACATGCTGCTAACTGCTACGGGACCACTGCAGCCACGAATGACATCCCCAGACACAATATCGAAATAATAATCAGATCCAATTAGCACATCTATGTCCTGTTGACCTGTTTCAGCAATGCTCATGTCAGCAAGCTCGAGACCTTGCAGATGTACGTGATTGTCGATGTTAACTTTAGCTGACACCGCCGAGCAAATCTTCGGGAAACATAGTGCAGATATCTTGATTTCTCCTTGAGATCCTTGCAACCGCAAGTTCACAACATCACATTGTTGCTTCGTATATCTTTCGTCTCCAAAGGTGTTAAGATGCAATGTTTCTGACTTGACAGGGGTCAGATTAAGCCTCGATTTCAATCTGGTTGTGATGTAGGTGCGTTGACTTCCGGTATCCAAAAGTATTCTAACTGGTGCGGCTTTAGAACTGACAACATTGACAGCCATGGCTTTCGCTGTTTGTAAGAGCACAGTTCCCTTTGCCTTGTTGCTCACTGTTGTTGTTGTCGTTGTCTCTTCGGCTGAAACTTCTTTTGGTTTCGGTTTCCCTTGGTCAAGCATTGAACAAATCGACTGATGATGCCGCTGCTGGCAGTGTCGGCATTTTTTTGGATTCGTGCAGTCTTTCGCACAGTGATCAAAACGCAAACAATTGAAGCATCGTTTATCCCTTTCCAAAATACTTCTTCGTTGAGCGGTATCTTTTACCACACCACATGATGCAGAGTAATGCTCGTTTTGACAATAGGCACATTTGATTTTGAAGTTCCCACTTTGCTGAGAGACGAGTGAATTCGCGGTTGGCGTTTGATTTCGAAACTTTGAATCACGGCCGGGTGGTTGAACTTTCCCGCCTTCGCTTGTTTTCGCCATGGTCATCTCGCTTGCTTCCCGCGCTTCGACTTCAACCTTTATCACGTTTAGCAACTCCTCCATTTTCCATACAGAATCCTTAGAGTTCCTGGCTATCTGCAATCGAATCTCAGATGGCAACTTTGACATAATAACAGGAATTAAAAGACTTCCGTATTGATCTGAAGTTACGCCGAGCGATGCCAAACCGCGGGAATGAACACAAATTTGATCGTAGACGTATCGAAGACTGGCTGGGCGATCATTAGAACACGGCGAAACCTTGAGGAGCTGATCCATATGTGCGCTGATAATTTGTTGGGGACGCCCGAAACGTTCTTGTAATAATTTGACTGCTGCGTTGTAGTTCGCTTCGGTTAAGGTAAGACCCTGAATAGCTCGAGCGGCGGCCCCTTCAAGGACAGAATTGAGGTAGTTGAACTTATCGATGTTGGAAATCCCTTCGTTACGATGAACCGCCGATTGAAATGAATCCCAGAAGGTATTCCACTTGGTCACATCTCCTCTAAACTTCGGCAGGTACAACTTCGGTAATCTTGCACGGACTGCATTTTGATTCACTGGCTGTGATGTCGTTTGAGGAGATCCCACGTGTTGCTGGGTTGGCATGTTCACCTTGCTCGCATTCTCGATTTTGCATTTTAGACGTATAATTGAGGCAGTAAATTCTTCTGACTCTTCGATTTCTTTATCAATCGTTGTAACTTCGCATAAAGATAATATCTCTTGGTCCATTTCGCTAAGCGACTCTTGTTTTCCATCCAAGAGTTGTCTCATAACATTGAGCCGTTCGTAATCCTTGTCTTCGCTTTGCAACATTTCGGTGAATTCTTGATCCAGTTTCGATACATATCGTCGGTGTCCTTCACGTATAACTCGCAGTCGTTACAAATTCGATGTATTCGCTTGCATACTCGATGTACTTGATATCTCGTGTGTTTTTGACTTCGGTTTACCCTTTTTGGGAGGCATTGCGATCGAAAATCTGCCCCACGTTGGGCGCCATTTAGTAAACACAACTGATCATGTTTAATAGTCGAAATCGAAAAATGCTTACTGACAAAAAATATTCCCGCGTCTCGGGTTGCTTGATGGTGCAATAAAGATCACGTGACTACAATATTACGCAGACATCAATAAATTAACATAAATTATATAAAAAATGTTCACAACATGTTATCAGTCCCGTGCAGAAACTCCGTCCCTTGCAGCTGAGGAGCAAAGGATTGCAAGACAAGGCTAAGTTCCCTGAAAGTGGAGCTCATTTTACTCTCTTCGACTGACCAGTTCCCCACTGCGGCCCGTCGTCCAAGTTGCACAGCACATCCACTCCATCCTAAGTCACTGGCATCTGAGTAGGTCAAAACCTCGTGTTTTGGGCTAGGCGACCAAATAGGGTAACCTGCATTATGAAAATTCTACTGCCAGAAAAGAACTTTCTTCTGTGTGTCTGCAGATACTACGTGCAGAATATCATGATATAAACTCCGTGCCAACAGGCGTACTACTGGACCCAGCACCAAACTTATAGAAGCCAGGAGCACTGTATAACGTGCTACCTTCCAAGCAGAAAAAAAAACAGTAGCTAGAACATCCTGCAGAACATGAAGAAAAGCATCCACCCTCTTTTGCAGAACCTGCAATGTCCCCATCTGTAGATTCAAAACATCACCCAGCAACTCCCCTGACTGGACTGGCACCCATTGGCTTTTCTCATCATTCGCCACAAAACCACTAAGCTGTGCATCTTGCCTTAACCTATGCTTCATAAAATTCAGAATCCTCACCTGCGCCATCATCCAAATAAGTAAATTTATGAATGTCCTCCAGTGCCTTGTTAGGGTTAGACCTAATTTTACATCTGTCACTGTACTGTCACTTAACATGAAGTCTCTGACACACTCCTCCATGCAGCATTGCATACAAGGGTGCATTCAATACTTAAGAGACTGAAACAACTATTTTTACAGTTCTGAAAACAATCAAAGGCTAGATCGAAAACTTCGCTGGTAATCACTCAGTTCAGGTTTAATATCGTTCAATTTCTTCATTTTAAGCAATCACCTTTTATTTTGGCAGCTGCCACAGCCACAGCGGCTCTTCTCGGTCTGAAAATTGGCACATCATGGTACAACCACTGTTCTGCTCCTGCTGGCACTGTGGGTTCACGCTGCAACTCCAGTGGGTACAGGTGCTGAACAGGATGCTCTAACTCCCTTACTGTTGCTCAGCTGCACTGCATGGATGTGGCCGTCACGTCCTGGGTAGGTCTTCTTGACAATACCTAGTGGCCACTTCCCTCGATTCGTGCTGTCTGATCATACTAGCACGGTGTCGCTAATGCTGACTCGATACTTTGCCATTTTGTGTACAAGGTTGTGGCACTCTCTCCGGGTGGTTAGGGCACTCACATTGCTATTGGTTCCACATGTGGTCTTTGCAGGTCTGCAAATATTTAGCTTGTCTGTGCACATTTGGGTCTTGAATTCTCCAGGCCTGCTCCTCAGGAAGCTGGTTGGTTCTTTGGAACACAAGGCTAGCTGGCATCAGGATGGGCAACTAAACATCGTCGTCAAAGTAACCAAGTGGGCGATGATTGACTTGAGTCTCTATGATAACTTCATTCAATTCGCTCCAGGAAAGTGTAGCTCCCTCTATGCCCTTTTACATTGCTGTGTTCACAATTTTGATCAGGCGTTCAAATTGGCCGCCCCACCAAGGGGCATGACTGGGGTTGAATTTCCACTGTATGTCATGGGACTCCAGGAATCCTTGCAACTGCTCGTTGCTTCGTACTTGCTTCAACCACTTGGCACCTTTGACAAACATACTACTATTATCAGAGTAAATGACAGCTGGACTTCCTTGTCTGGCTATGAGGCATTTGAGACATGTCAGGAATATACTACAGTCTCAGACAAAATTGTTGGGACGTTTTTGTGTGTTCTCCTCCCTTCAATGTTGGTGTACACGATTGCCGACTGAATCGCAATAAACAACATTAACATTGCAACAGATAGTAAGATTAATTTATAGTTTGTATGTATGTGACGGAGTTTAGTGAGCTGTGACGTTCCATGCGGGGTAATTTACTAAAGATTCTATTTGCAGTGAACTGATGTAATGGACTGCAGTAGTTACTATTTTGGGAATTTACATGTAATAAAAAGAGACCCGCAAGACTGAGAATAAGCAGTTAGTAGACTGATAATTTTTTTGGAACGATATATTGACAAAAAAGTAGAATGGTTTTTAAGGGCACAATTAATAGCGTGACACGAGCACGTGCGTACTATCTCTGTAACATCCAGGGTTTTCCCATACGGAAAGTCGCTCGAATGTGTCAGATTTCTAGAGGAAGCGTGTGGAGAATAAAAAAAGAAGGCCTTCTCGGTAACAAAGACTGTAAGGAACACATACGAAGGGGAAGACCTGTGAAATTAAGCGCAAGAGATGGGAGGCAGTTGGTGCGAGCCATTCAAAGACTTCGAGAGAAAGAGGGCAATTTTTCGTGTCAAAGAATTATGCAAGAAGCCAGTATTTCTGTCAAAGATGTATCAGTTAGAACAGTGTCCGGCTTTCTAAATTCGCAAGGGTACTATTATCTTCAAGCGCGTAAAAAGGGTGTTCTAACAGTCACAGATATGAAGAAAAGGCTACAGTTTGCGCAACGAATGTGAAAACACTATGGAGCCGACGTCTGGATTAAACAGATAGCTTTCTATCTGGATTGTGTGTCTTATGTGTACAAGAGAAATCCATTGGATCAGGCTTTGGCTCCCAAGGCACGAATATGGCGAAAACGTGGCGAAGGTCTTACAACTGGCTGCTTGGCAAAAGGCAAGAAAGAAGGAACTGGCGGAAGATGTGTGAGACTTATAGTAGCTATATCATATGATAAGGGTATAATTGCTTGTTATCCGTACAGGAAAATGACTGGCCGTTTATTTGCCAATTTTATCGATGAATATTTCCCGGGAATGTTTCTGCAGGCAGATAAGGGGGGAGAGAACTTATTTGTACAAGACAATTGTCCATGTCAGAATTCCGTGTTGGCTAAAGCGGCCCTGAGGAGAACTCGTGCAAATTTACTAAAGTTTCCAGCGCGATGTGCTGACGTTCTTTGCCATGAAAATCTTTTCCCTGTGGTTGCTCGTAAACTAGATAAAAAGGCCACTGAACGCCAAATTACGAGGGAGTCGTATAGTGAGTTTGAGGCACGAGTTATTAACACCTTTTATTCCTTACCAATAGGGACTATTAAAAAGCTTATTTCCTCTATGTCGTCGCGTATTTTACAGCTTATTTCTGTAAAGGGAGGGCGAATAAAATATTGAATGTTACAAATGTATTAAACAAAGTATATTTTCCTTGCTGTACTAACAGTATAGTTCTAACTAAAAGGGGAAACTTCTTATGTGAGGGACAATTAACTAAACTGTAACTCTTGTAAACGCTCTTGACATAATAAATTCTTAAGTAAACACAACAGACATGGTAGGCGTGTGCTTCAATATGAATAAATATACCAATAATGTGTTCAAGTTGCTCTACTATCCCAAAAACATCACTAATGTACCATTTTCTTCGAGCCCATGAGAATGTTTTTTTCCCTTTGAAAGGGTCAAACGCAAAGGAAGTCCTGAAGATCATAGCTATACAAAAGAGCAGGTGTTAAATCGCAAAATTTCGAGATGTTGTGTTTACACAGTATTTTGGCTTAACTCCAAATGGTGACATCGGTTGTCAAAGTTATGAGCAAATATACACGGAATAAAATAGTCATACAACCCAAAAAAACTGCCATAAAAGAGGGAAAATCCATATAACTGATGACTCATCACAAAAGACGGAAACATCTGCCCTGCTAATGCCAAAAACAGGCTGTGCACTAAAGTGTACACGGGTCACCGTACTTTAACTCAATTAACAAAGTAGCACGTTTCTTTTTCAACCGAAAAACTGTGTCACCATGCTCCAAAGGTAAATAGCTTCTCTTGTGTGTATCAAACAGCGCTGAATACCGGCATTTTCATTTTTCTGTGAAACACACTTGTCTTTGACTTTTTGATTCAATTGTTTTTACTCAACAGGTCATAGTAAAGGCCCAGTAAAGTACGGTGACCCGTGATGGTGACCCGTGATGGTGACCCGATAGACATGTAACCATCCCTTCACTATATTTGTGGGAAGATCAGTTTTGCAAAACAGTGGGGGCAGTTAGGGGTAATTCGTTGCTCTTGGAATTGGGCTCTGTAAGGCGAAAACCTTCAAACGAACTCTCATCATCTGCGATTCCCTCTCGTCAAGTACTCCGCCGCGAACGAAACTGAGTTCCTCTTTACTGGTACAAAACATTGGAGTATCACGGGTAAACTCGATGTCCTGAGAAAAGTGCGTTTTCGGAGCAGGAAGATGTACTTTTTGCCCCTCTAATAAAAGTAACAGATCGTGCCGCAGTATGATTTGAGAGCACCACCGGAAATCATTTAAAGAGATAACTTCCGCAGTTTCCACACCTAACCATGCAAATGTGGTAGTAGCTGGGTTTGTGAAAGTTTTAAACACGGTATTCAATGGGTTCAGCAGAAATGTTTTCCCACAATTAGCTGGTCCTTTCAAACATACGTTTCTGTACTTGCCACGGTCCTGCTGTAAAAGATTTCTCACTGCCTCCGAAAATTCCTCTCGGCTAATACCATTATGCTGCAATACTTGTTCAGCCGTCTCTAGCCATTTTCCCTGACAGCCGTCTACACATGGGCTCTCTAGCTCGCGGTACACAATTTCTACCCGTGATAACTTGCTGCGTGCCAACTCTGACTCTGCATTTTTCCATCTCCCAACCTATACTAAGAGCTTCCTCAACCGCTTTGGAACCTCTGTTTTGCACCAGGTCAGTTTTCCCCTCTCTTTTTTGCTGACTTGCTAACGCCACTAACTCCAAACGCGTTTTAATCCGCCGCTCAACTGCAATTTGCGATACATCAAACATGGACAATGACCTCTTTCGCTTGCCTTTTTTATTACTGGTATCTTCATCACCTTCTCCAAGGCGTATTTCCCATAATGCGCAACTTGCATTTGTCGTTATTGGCGCCCCATCATTTTGCAGATCGGGATGATTCGTGGACTGTACTGATGAACTATCTTCCTTGGTTGTATACCTCCAGGCGCTGTAATAATTGTCATGTCTGTCACTAAAGTTGACTTTGACACCGTACTCCTGGTCAATATAGTTCCTCACACCCAGCCACCGTCTTCCACCGCTCAGTTTCACCGCCATATGATAATGTAAACCGCCATCTGCATGACTTTCCTGACTACATACCCAATGGATCACTGTGGCATTCAACTCGGGAACTACGGTATCAAATGCGTCTAATATAATATGTGCAAAGGCCTCTCGTGTAGGGACAAACTCTAAGTTGGCCTGACTATGGGTTATGAGGTACACTCGTCTCACATCTCGCCAACTCAAACTCTCAGTGTCTGCGCTGTCCACTTCGCTCACATCAGAAACGCAGTTTGTTTCACACACGCCAGCACTAGAATCGGCCATGTTGGAACTACATGATCACTTCAACAATCTGTATATTATAATTCGATCTATTTGTTTATAACTCAGGAACTAGCGCGTATCTGCCAGTCATGAAAATTGTGAAGACATGAGTTCGGCATACCTCAAAAACTTCCTACTTTACAAATATTTTCCCCAGAAAATCTCAAAATATGCCTTATAATACAATAAAGACACTTTATTTCATGG